AATAAAGTCAAGGAATTAACTTCAGCCAAGTACATTCGGCGAATTCGTAAGATATTAATGTCCAAATTGAGTGGAGGAAACATCATAAAAGCCATAAATACCTGGGCTATACCTGTGATTAGATACTCTGCAGGAATAATTGACTGGACCCAGATGGAGTTAGACAATTTGGACAGAAAAACAAGGAAGCTTATGACAATGAAGCATGCCTTGCACCCTAAAAGTGATGTTGACCGATTATATTTACCAAGAGCAGAGGGTGGTCGAGGACTCCTACAAGTAAAGCAGACTGTGGAAGAAGAAAAATGCAGCTTGAATGATTACATCCAGAAAAGTGAAGAACCAATGATTAAGGAAGTAAATAAAGGAGGCCTTTTAAAGACAACTAAAACAAAAGCAGAATATAAGAAAGAAGTAATTGAGCAGCGAGCTGAAAATTGGAAACACAAAGCTCTGCATGGCCAATACTTGAAAAGTATTGAAGGCAAAGCTGACCAGAAACTAACTTGGAACTGGTTAAGATCAGGAGTACTGAAAAAAGAAACAGAAAGCTTTATTTTGGCAGCTCAAGAACAAGCCCTAGCCACAAACTGCATGAAGGCAAAAATTCAACATGTTACCACCAACAGCAAATGCCGCCTCTGCAATGAGAAAGATGAGACAGTCGACCACCTGATCAGTGGGTGCAGCAAAATTTCACAAACTGACTACCTACAATGCCATGACCGTGTTGCTAAGATCATTCACTGGAAATTGTGTCAGAAGTTTGGATTTGAGTACAGCAAAAACCACTGGGAACATCAGGTTGAGAAAGTTTTAGAGAATGAGAAACTCAAGATCTTGTGGGACTTTAGGATTCAGACTGACAGGCACTTGGTCCACAACACACCTGACATAACAATAGTTGAAAAGAAAAAAGTATGGTTCATTGACATTGCAATATCTGGTGATGCATGGATTGAAGATAAGCAGCAAGAAAAAATCACAAAGTACCGGGATTTGCAAATTGAAGTTGAGCGACTGTGGAAAAAGAAATCGTGTGTTGTCCTGATTGTAATTGGAGCCCTTGGAGCAATACCCAAAGGGGTACCCCGCTATTTAGAAATTCTAAATTTGCCGGACTTGAACATTTTGACTCTACAAAAAACAACCTTACTCGGAACAGCTTACATCCTCCGACGATACCTTAACAGTTCCTAGGTCCTTGGTTAGGACTCGAGCTGCTGAGCTATTAACCAGCCTCAAAGGCTGTGAATCTCACTAAAGATTAACTAATAATAATAATAATATAATTTTATTTATATACCGCCCTCCTCCCAAAGGACTCGGGGCAGTGTACAGCCAAAATTAAAACATAAATATACAATATCATAGTTAAAATTAATTAAAATCATTAAATAGTTTTGGCCGAATTTTAAAACCCAAAGTTAAAACCCAATTTAAAATCATTCAATTATTCAGCCCTGCCTGTCAGAAAAGTAGGGTCTTGAGGGCACAGCGAAACCCAGATATTAGAGATGTTACGAATATCCAGGGGCAATTAATTTCAGAGGGCAGGGGCTCCGACAGAGAAGGCTCTTCTCCTGGGTGTCACCAGCTGGCATAACTTGGCCGACGGCACCCTGAGGAGTCCCTCTCTGTGGGAGCGAACTGGTTGGTGGGAGGCTGTTGGTGGCAGAAGGTGGTTCTGTAGATATCCTGGTCCTATGCCATGGAGCCCTTTAAAGGTGGTAACCAACACCTTGAATTGCACTCGGAAGACCACTGGGAGCCAGTGCAGCTCACGCAGGAGAGGTGTTACATGGGCGTAATGAGGTGCGCCCATTACCACCCGCGCGGCCGCATTCTGGACCAGTTGGAGCCCCCGAGTGCTCTTCAATGGGAGCCCCATGTAGAGAGCATTACAGTGGTCCAGACGGGATGTGATGAGGGCGTGAGAGACTGTGCACAAGGCATCCCGGTCCAGAAAGGGACGTAACTGGTGGATCAGGCGAACCTGATAAAAAGCCCCCCTGTCTACGGCCGTCATGTGCTCTTCTAAAGACAACCATGAGTCCAGGAGGATGCCCAGATTGCAAGCCCTCTCTGTGGGGGGAAGAGATTCACCCCCAATAGTCAGTGATGGCACCAGCTGACTATACCGGGATGCCAGAAGCCACAGCCACTCAGTCTTGGAAGGGTTGAGCTTGAGCCTATTTCTCCCCATCCAGACCTGCACGGCCTCCAGGCAGCGGGACATCACATCAAGGGCATCATTGGGGTGGTTTAGAGTGGAGATGTACAGCATACTGGTGGACTCTCACCCCAAAACCACAGATGATCTCACCCAGCGGCTTCACATAAATGTTGAACAGAAGGAGTGAGAGGACCAATCCCTGCAGCACACCCCAAGCGAGGCGCCTTGAGGTTGACCTCTGCCCCCCTGCCAACACAAACTGCGAGCAGTCAGAGAAGTAGGAGGAGAACCACCATAACATGGTGCCTCCAATTCCTAATCCCCTCCACCACTGCAGCATGATACCATGGTCGATGGTATCAAAAGCCGCTGAGAGATCTAATAGGACCAGGACAGAGGAACAACCCCTGTCCCAAGCCCTCAAGAGAACATCAACCAATGTGACCAATGCCATTTCTGTGCTGTACCCCTGCCTGAACCCCGACTGGTATGGGTCCAGATAGACAGCTTCCTCCAGGTACTGGGGTAGCTGTTGTGCCACCACATCTCGACAACCTTCACCACAAAACGAAGGTTGGAGACCGGACGATAATTTACCAATACAGCCGGGTCCAGGGATGGCTTCTTGAGGAGGGGCCTCACCACGGCCTCTTTCAAGGCAACGGGAAAGGCACCCTCACTCAAGGAAGCATTTATAATGCCCTGGAGCTAGCCTCGTGTAACCTCCCGGGAGGCCAGTACCAACCAGGAAGGACACGGGTCCAATAAACATGTGGCAGCAGTAAGCCTACCCATTATCCTGTCCACGTCCTCAGGAGTCATGGGGTCAAACTCTTCCCAGATAATATTCTCAAGACTCACCCCGTCTCCCTCCCCGGACTCATCCAGTCAGAGTCCAAGCCTTCCCGAATCTGAGCGATTTTATCATGCAGGAACTGCACAAAATCCTCAGCTCGACCTGCAAGGGATCTTCCCGCACTCCCACCTGAAGGAGGGAGTGGGTCACCCTAACCAGAGCAGCTGGGCAGTTCTCTGCAGATGCGATAAGAGTGGAAAAATAGTTAGATTTTGCCACTTTTATCGCCACTAGGTAGGTCTTGATATAAGATCTCATCTGTGTCCGGTCAGATTCGGATTGACTAGTCCTCCAAACACTCTCTAAGCATCTTTTCTGATGCTTCATCTCCCTCAGCTCCTCGGAAAACCAAGGAGCTGGTTGAGGTTGGCATCGGGTCGGAGGCCGCAAAGGCACGACATGGTCCAAAGCCCCTGTGGCCGCACTATCCCAGGTGGCCACCAGATCTTCAGTCGAGTCGTGTGCCAGAGTCTCCGGAAATGGCCCAAGCTCCATCTGGAACCTTTCGGGATCCATCAGGCGTCTGGGACAGAACCATCTAGTCGGTTCCATCTCCCTGCGGCGGGGGGAAGTGGCTTGAAAGTCTAAGTGAAGGAGCGAATGATCTGTCCATGACAAGGGTTTAATGTCTACGTCCCCTCTACCAAGATCATTCAGCCACTGACCAGAGATGAAAATCAAGTCCAGAGTGTGTCCCCCTGTGTGAGTGGGGCCTTGCACTAATTGGGTCAGGTCCATGGCCTTCATGGAAGCCATGAACTCTCGAGCCACCTCTGATGTCTCACTGACGGATGGCAGGTTGAAGTCCCCCATAACAATAAGTCTGGGGGTATCAACCGCCAACCCGGCTATCACATTGAGTAGCTCAGGCAGGGTCACTGCCACATGGCAGGGAGCCAGGTACGTAGTCAGCAAACCCATCTGCACCCCACAACCCCACTTCACAAGAAGGGACTCACATCCTGCTATCTGAGGAACAGTAGCCTCCCTCAGACAAAGACTTTCTCTAATAATTGCTGCTCTCCCCCCCACCCCTCCCCTGAGCCCTTGGCTGATGAAATGCACAGAAGCCTGGAGGGCACATTTCAACGAGGGGAACCCCCCTCCTGGCCCAACCAGGTCTCCATAATCACAGCCAGGTCTGCACACCTCTCCATAATAAGATCACAAATGAGGGGGGCTTTATTAATTACCAACCTGGCATTACATAACATCAGTCGAGGACCCAGGGCCTGAGACTCTGTGCAATCCAGGACACGAGCCACGCTATGGGGGCCGGAGTGCGCAATCGCTCGAAGACAGTGCATGCACACACCCAGAACTGATATGGCCCCCTGCGTCTGCCATACCTGCCCCTCCCACTTATCACATTAATGGAACTGCCCTTCTTTTCGCCAGCTGGCGCCCCAGTCAGATTACCCTTCTCATCTCCTCCGCTGTGCCCAACCAACCCACCACCCCACACAGTGGCTATATGGACCCCCCCGGTCCATCGCTACAGCCCCCTCCACCCTTCTTGGGTCCCCTTAAAAACCCCTCCCCCCTCCCAGACCCTCTTAAAATACAAGATGAAAATTTAACTAAAAAAACCAACAACCTCCTCCTCGCTGCATGCCACCTCTCTGGGTTCCAAAACCATTCATTGAGGTAGGCCCTTGATATCATAGAGGGGCAAATTTGTGAGAGGAATCTCGCAGATTAAGGAGTTCAGTCCTAGAATATATCTGGGGGACTGTAATGATGATAGATAGGCTGACATAGTCCGGGAACCTCAAAAGAGGAAACTTCATCGGCTGATGACAAAGTCCAGGGAGAAACGTAGCAAGTGATGAAACAAAAGCCCTCCCCATTGTCCTCTCACTGCAATGTGGGGGAATCCGAAGGTCAAGGACCACATGGACCACTCTCTCACATCGGCCATTTTGGGAGCACTAAAACCCCAGTCCTGCCACTGGCCGCAAAGTTCCATCAGTCTGGTACATCATCCTTGGTATCTCCTGAAGGGGGAATCTCAGCATTCTCAAAACATCTGGCTGAGCTGTGGTTGGCTGGAATTGGACTGGTTACAGGGGGATAAGAATGGACTCTGGGTGAACCTTTTTTGTATCTTGCAAATGCTGGAGAATTCAGAGCTGGCTTTACATTACTGCAACCAACACCTTTAGTAAAAGAACCCTTCGCTTTTACCAAATGGAGTCAAAGGTGTTCCTTTCCTAAGGGATCAGTTTGGGGCAGACCTGACATCTGCATGACAGCCAAGAAGCAACAGTTAGAGACAGACATGGAACAATTGATTGCTTCAAAATAGGGTAATAAGTACAACAAGGCTCTATATTGTCACCTTGCTTATTTAAATTATATGCAAAGTACATCTTGTGAAATGCCAGGCTGGATGAATCACAAGCCAGAATTAGGATTGTTGGAAGAAATATCAACAACCTCAGATATGCAACGATACCACTCTAAAAGCAGAAAGTGAAAAGGAACTAAAGGGCCTCTTGATCAGGTAAAAGAGTAGATTGCAAAAGTTGGCTGGAAACACAATATAAAAAAAGCTAAGTTTATGGCATCTGGTGCCATCACTTCATAGCCAATAGAAGTGGAAGAAATGAAAACAGATTTTATTTTCATGGGCTCCAAGATCACTGCAGATTCCCCTTTTTTAAAAAAGAAAAAATCCTTTTCAAATTTTCAAATTACTTTTTTTCAATTTTTTAATTATTTGTTCCCAATTTTAATCTTTTTTCAACTCTTAAATATTATTTTTAATTTTTAATTATTTCTTTTCAGCTTTTACATCTTTTTCCATTTCTTTTTTCAACTAAACATTTGAAAACATATAGTTTACTTATTTTAATTCTGTAGAAATTTTTAAATTCTTAATGCTCTAAGAGGAAACATGAATAAAAAAAACCACAGAAAAAAGAAACAGACACTTAAGACAGGAAAGATAGTGATGAATTTTTCAAAAGAACAAATGGTCAAGAACTCTTATAAACTATTAGCAATGGGGAATATATTTAAATATTTAGAAATGTTTAATTTTTTAGCAAACAAACAAAGAAAAAAGTGATGGAAATGGACACTGACAGTATAATTACTTGCAATGTTTGCCATATGTTTCAGCTTATGCCCACATAGCTCAGATACTTTGGCACACTTTGGATTCATTGGACAACACCCTGAGGTTGTGAAAGATTGAAGGCAAAATGAGAAGTGGATAACAAAGGATGAGATGGTTAGGTAGTGTCATCAGCACAATGAACATTAATACGGGCAAATTGTAGAAGATGGAGGATAGGAGGGCCTGGCGTGCTATGGTTCATGGGGTTGCAAAGATTCAGAGAGGAGTTAGTGACATACCAACAACAATAACTGAGATAGCACAGCAACCCATAAGTACAGGTGTTCATTGTTTAATGACTGCTTGTTCAGCAACCATCTGAAATTATAAGAAATTGTAAGTGCAGAACAAGTGATACTTAGGATTTCCTTACTGTGCTTGTATGATCACAATCCAGGAAGTCAGGAATGTGCCTTTATTTCTGACTGTCATGGCATTCCACAGTTACTTGATTGTGATTTGTAGTCTATTTTGCTAGCTTTCCACAAGCAAAGTCAATGGGGAAGGTAGAAGGAAATTGGAAGATGTGCTCACATGAATTCCATGCTTTAAAAACTATGCAATCCTCACTTAACAATGGTAATTGGGGTCTGCCAAAATTATTGTTGCTAAACTGCATGGTCAAGTGATGTCACAACTTACACCTGCATCACTTAGCAATGGAAACTCAGGTCCCAATGACCATCATTAAGTAAAGGCTGCCAGTGAAATTTACAATATAATCGAAGATAGACTTACTTTTACAAAGTAAAATTGAAAATTAATGACCTACCCCGAAAATATGACCTAGCATGATTTTTCATGCTGCTCACAATATAAGCCCTACCCCTACAAAATAAGCCCTAGTTCAGAGAATCAGCAGCGGGGGTGGGATGGTGGGGGGAGCCAGCATAGGAGGTGGCAAGGATGCACATGGGGAAGACGACGTCCGGAAGCAGGTTCAGCCTTTATGGCGCCAGGGAGGAAGGAATGTAATACGTTCCACCACCTGTCTTTCCTTGCAGAGTGTGTGACAAAGGAGGACCCCATTTGTCAGTGGGAACTGGAAAGGCAGGGGCTGTGTCATGACCCCACCCCACCCCATCATTTGCTGGCTATGAGAGACGGTGCAGTCAGCATGGCTCAACTGGCAGCAGCGGGGCGGTCTGGAGGTCATAGATCTGGGACGACTTGGGTAGCCGAGAGCAGCACTACCAGGGGGGCAAAGAGCCCCCATGAGGTCAGCAGCAGCACAGGCCATTGTTTGGAGGCCAGCAGTTGAGAAGTGTCCTTGTAGCAGCAGGGCCAGCAAGCATTGGGACAGAGAGGACAGGGCTGGTGGACTTTCTATTCCCTGTACCTGAAAAAAATAAGAGACACCCGAAAATAAGCCCAAATTCTTATTTGGGGGCCTAAAAGAAAATAAGACCAGGGCCTATTATTCAGGGAAACATGGTATATTCTACCTAGGAAATAAAGTCTTAGTAAAAGAAGTTAGGAAATGGGACTTGAGGACCAAACGGCAATGATATTTCTTTTATTGGATACATTAAAGTAGAGCCAGAGTCGACATCAGCAGGAGCTGCTGGAATTTAAAATCCTACAATAAGCTGAATTTGATGGCTGAAATGTCCATCATTTGAAATCTATGATTGTTTCATCCAATGGGATGAAACCCATGGGTTAGAGTGCAGTACTGCAGGCTATTTCAGCTACTTCAGCTGACTGCTAGCTGCAGTTGAGCAGTTGAAATCTCACCGGCTCAAGATTGACTCAGCCTTCCATCCTTCTGAAGTGGGTAAAATGGGGGCCCAAATTGTTATGGGCAACCTTGTAAACTGCTTAGAGAGGGCTGTAAAAGCACTTTGAAGTGGTATATACAGTAAGTCTATTAGCTATTGCTATTGCTAAATATGTCACAAAATATAGCTCAAATTAACATCCCACCTTGGTCCTCTTTTATTTAGTGCCTGAGATATTAAAAACACTTTTACTCCTTTCCCTTCTTCTCCTAGAGCCGTGTTCTTGGAAGCATATAAGGCTGCTCTCATTCCATCCATTTGCTCTAAAACTATGCATGTGTTGTTATGAATAACTGGGTGTAGAAATGCAGGTGACTCTCAAATGGTCTATGAAGAGGTCAGAACCAATGACTCGTAAAATGGGAACATTAAAGCTGGCTGAATCTTCTTTGAATAAGAATGACACAATGTATCAGTCCTTCCTCTTCCACCCATGGATTGTATGGGAAGATCCTCATCAGGAAATGCCAAAAAATATTGGCATGATTCAGTGGTGGATTCCACTTGCCTTCACTAGTGATTCACTATTGTGAATGCAGATGCAAAGAATGTTCATGATGAAATCTGGGTGGTGGGCAGAGCCTCCTGCCACCGCCACTACCAGTTCGCACAAATCTGGGCGAACTGGTAGGAACCCACCACTGGCATGATTGTACTTTCAAGAATCAATGAATTCTGTCTGCAAATGCAAACATTCCAAGTAAAGCATATATAACAACAACCACCACCAATACAGCTTCAACATTCAGTAATAACCTTCCTCCATTTATTCTTAGACTGAATTTATGGAACAATAAGGAAGTGGCTTCCCAGGATGGAGGGGGAGCATTTCAGAGAAGTAAAAGACAATTCAGATTGGATATTGTGTTTGTGAGAAAGAGAAGTATCAACCTCGCCCCCTAGTAACACACAGAGTAAAATCCAGATACAGATAGTAGAGTGCTCAGATTGACAAAATTTTATCTATAGATGTAAAACAAGAAGAATTCAGCTTAGAAGAATTACTATCTGTCATTCTTGATTTTGGGCTTGAAAGGAGACTAATTTCATGGAGAGAAACATATTTTAAGAAATTTTGTAGAATGCCGCTTATAGTTTTAATATCAGCCTATGAATATTTTGATTACTTAATCCATTATTACATCTCACTTTTGGGTTTTCAGACATCAATATCCCTGGAGAATATTGTTTGCTAGAGTTTATGAACACCCATTGCAACTACAGATATGGTGGTTTCTCACCCTGCTAACAGACTTACCTGCCACCACACTTGATTGTGAAAATGTTTCCTTCTTTCTTTCATCATTCTTGTTTCTCTAGATTTGGATAGAGAGAGAGATTGCAAAGCATGTGCCACAGCATAGACCGCGTTGTAAATATTATAACTCTGGCTACTCATGCTTGTTTCAAACACAGATGTAGGAAGGGTTTCAAGCTTCTCCTGTCCAGTACATTTCTTCTCAGACTCCTCTATTTTTGAGTTTGGGAAGAAACAACTGAATGCCTGTTCCCAGAAATCTTTCCGAAAATGATCATTCTGATTATTGCTTGGATTTAGATTTTGAAGAAATTCCTGGAAGTTTTGGATCTCCTTTGTGTGAACTGCAAAGGATAAAGCACCGTGCAGAGAATGGATATCCCAAGTTTTATGAATGGAAATTGAAGTATAATCTGTTTGAGCAGTTATAAGCCAAATCTTATCCTGCTTTGGTATATCATCCACTTCTGAAATCTGGAGGATAGTTCTCAGAACTGTTAAGGACTGTTCACCATATAAGATTATCACATTGGCTGTGCTCTTCATGAGAATATGGTATATATGTCGGACTTCATCTATGGTTTCATCAAAATCACTGTAAAAAGCTCCATTTGGGAATTCTGCTATGAATTCAGTGCAGATGCCATGCTCAGAAAATGTGGGGAGTATCTCCTGGAAAAATTTATCTCCTTTCTCATCCTTTAGTACAAGAATTCCAATCCAGATCCATCTAAAATACAGCAATAACTGCAGGAGGCCCTTACGTTGGTGGGATTCATTTGGAAACATTTGTTGGAAGAAAACTGCTTTATCTATGACTGGAGCAGAGCCGTAGGTCAACTACAGAAAGATTAACATATACAATTGAAAATTCTATTGCATGTGATCCTCTGAAATCATATACATTCATTTCAGTTGGGTATCTTTCACCTTTTATACTGAAATTATGCAACTAGTTGTGTTTATTATGAAGTATCAACCAAGATGTCACTCTTGAGGTATCAGAAAATATATTTTTTTCTGAAAGTAGTCTCATTGTGAATATTTCAAATTTGAGCCTTAGTTCAATGTCTGGAATTGGGGCACATTTTGCTATGTCAAATATCACCACCATCTGTTCAGAATGACAATGATTCATGGTGCTATGATGATTCTATCAAGCAGATAATAATATCTAGGAACCTGGAAGGTCTCTCTCTTTATAAAAAGAAGCATACCAACGTTTCTAGAGAAATGGCAAAATGATAATGTATATCCTCATCACATCTTACCTGAGGAATTTTGTAGATTCCCAATACAGTTGCCATGTGAAAAGAGATGTCAGGTGTCCCAATGACTGCAGCCAAGGTATTTGTGATCCCACACTTGTAGTTAGGGATGAATTTGCCCTGAGTGAAAGGTAGAATCATTGAGGCAAAGAAAGTCCGGCTTGGTTTAAAATTGCTGTTAAAAATGTGGAAGCCCAGCGTGATGTTGGGTAGGATCTGGGGATTTTCATTTATCTCTTTTACAGTAAACACTAAAGCCAGGATATGCTGGTAATTCTGAAAAACTATTCTGTAAAACAGAATTAGAAACAGCACACTAAGAAAGGTCTTTATCACATTAATGCACTTACAAACCTTTCGTACAATATATTTTGTGGAATGTGTGAAATAATTCTTGTTTCTATATGTGAGAATAGTTCACTATCAAACTGCAGCTTTTTAAGAATGGCTTATATGCAAAAGGAAATTGCTACATTTTGGTACCTGAAATAAAGAAGGAGAAAACATATCATGGGAAATATATGCTTTTTCTTCCTTAATGGGAGTAACAGCTTCATATTTGTATGGAATTAATTTGTATGGAATTAGGCCATACATACCTGTATATTAATAGATATTGAGATGTGATTTGTTATAAATGGAGATTTGATCTCCATTTCAGCTATTTCAACTTTACTTAGAAACTGAAGTAAAATATAACATCAGATAAAATAAACTGAAGCATCCTATTTTAAATGTTTCTATCAGGAGTTTTTACCACCAGTGGAAAATATTTCAAGAATGATATGATTTACCCGCAAAGTTCAGAGCTTGACAGTAAATTAACTATATACTTACAGAAGTCCATCATGAAATACCTGCGAAGGATGTTGAGTGAACTCAATGGGGTCAGAAAATATCACAAATGCAGAAATAATGCCAGCAATGTTAATATCTCCAAGCTGATGATAGGTGTGCCGAATAGGAAGAGGCTCCCAAAAGTCACATTGAAGGATAGGACTCTTGCACGTCATTTTAGGCAATACTATTAACACTATCTCCATGAATAGTAACATCTTCGATGAGTGTCTTCTTTCTATGTAGAAAGGTCTCTGTCTGCTACAAGATCTTTGAAATAGACCAGAGAGATCTGCCTCCTGGAGGTGTTCTTCAGACAAAACTAGGGAGTGCAACATACTATCAAATCAACTCACAGAGCTTTGGGCCTCCCAGCCATGGGTTGGAATAGGATGGGGACAATAATTACCATTATTCAACGTCAGTTGCTCCTATTTTCATGGAGTCCCATAGCATTTGGAAGAGGCAAACTGGCTAATTTCATAATGATAGCCAGGCAGTCACATATGCCTCATTCACAATTTCAAGAAATGTCAGGACTTGCAGAGGCAGGAACGCATGAGCCACAAGACAAAAAATAAAAACATTAGATTCATAAAGTGAAATAGAGCTGTAAATATATGTATGTGTAAAGGCATTACTCTAATTCTACTCTATTCTATTCTATTCTATTCTAGTCTAGTCTAGTCTAGTCTAGTCTAGTCTAGTCTAGTCTAGTCTAGTCTAGTCTATCCCATCCCATCCCATCCCATCTCATCTCATCCCATCCCATCCCATCTTATTCATTCTTACACTAAACTACACCACATTCACTAGCCCATTGCATCCACTCCATTCCAGTTGATGTAATGTAGTTATTTGTGGGCATTCGTGGAATGCCTTTTCATCACAGGTTGATTGCTTCACTTTTTAAAAATCTATTGTTATTTATTTTATATACTGTATTTTTCAAAGTATAAAATGCACCTTTTCCCCCCTAAAAGGGGATGAAAATTTAGGTGTGTCTTATACACCAAATGTAGCCCTGCCCACCCACTGGACCCCACCCTTTGGCCTGTGCCTCGCAGTTACCTCCTTGCAAGCAAACAGCAAGAAAAAACAGCTCCTTTCAGCTTCAGCACAGACTAATTAGCACAAGTTGATTAGATCGGCCTCCCGACTCTCAGCTGATTTGCTCTCAGCTGTTTTGTGCAGGGCTTTGCTGCTTGCTCCAAAGAGGTAAATTGCTGGAGCAGATTTTTTTTCCTTGTGCTAATCAAGCTATGCTGAAAACGAAACTGAAAGTAAAGCAGGCTATTTGCTGTTTGCTGCAAGGAGGCAAAATTAGGCAGAGGCAGAGGGAGATTTCTTTTTCTTCTTTTTCCTCACCAAAAATGGTAGGTGCAAACAATGGGAAATTTAGGGCAAAAGAGGAGAGTTCAAGATTTTAAACACAAAAGAAAGAAAGGAGAAAGAAAAAGGCAAAAATAAAAATGGGAAGGGAGAAAAAGAAATGAAAGAGAAAAATGTTATACATATTTAGAATTGAAATATGAATAGTAGTAAGAAATAAATGGGAAATCATGATTGTAAAAATGAAATGAATAATAATTGGAATATTTCTCTTCGTATTTTTGAAATCTAGACAATGATAAGTTTTTATTTTTTTATTTTTTTAGAAATATGAATAAGTATAAACTGTAACAATTGAAATACCTTTAATGGTATATGGTGGTGAAAGTAAAAAGAATTAAGTTGTAGCTTGGATAACAACTAGAACATTTTTAAATTTAATTAGGGAAATTGTAATGATTGACATATTTTTAATTATATATTGTGATGAAAGTAGAAATGATTAAATTGTGATTTGGAGGATTATATGAGAAAAACTATGTGGGTTATTGGGAGAGTTTAAGATGTGAAAATGAGTAACATAAGAAAAGAAAATTATTTGGTTTATTATTATTGGTAAATATAATTAATTGATCTGAAAGAAATTGGATTGCATGGAAATAATTGGAATATTCATGTTCATATTGATTAATATACAAAAAAAGATAGTTATATAACAAATTGATTTATATTAAAATGTTGCATTTGTATGAAGCAATTGTAATATTACATAATTAACCAATGTGAGGATGGATATAAAAATAGATGACAATGGGAAGGGGTATAATATAGAATAGAAGAGAAAAATTGAGTTTGATTAAGATTAGAGAAGAGGATGAAGGGTAATATTGATTTTTTTAAAAAATAGATGAGGAATAAATATGGCAAAAAGGAAATATAGAAATTGTAAATTTAATTGAAATGACTAAACACTGTTTAAATTTGTGAACCTGCCAAATACTCTGTTCAAAGAAAATACATTGTATGTTTGTATGTGTGTTTGTCTTAAAAAAAAAAAATCTTAAAAAAAAAAACCAAAAAAGGTAGGTGCATCTTATACTCCGTAAAATACGGTAGTCATTGGTATTTTCATGATTGATTCTTGTACACCATCAATATTTTTTTCTGGAGACCCATAGGAAGATATGTGAAACATCACAGTGAGATTGGTAGGAGTACGAGTTTAATAAATCTATCAATTATAACTCTGGTCCAACTAAGCGTGCCTTTTATTTGTTTCATTCATGAGTTCAGGATGAAATTGAAGAAAATATCCTATGGGTGCAATATAAACAAAAAAATAATGCAAGTTTGCATCATGCAGACATCGAAGTGGGGAAAGATACAAATTGCAAGTTCCCACAATCCATTAGACTACAAAATATTGAACAAGCCAGAATCAAACTACTGGCAGTTGGCAGAATTAGACTCCAGTACTGCATTCTAATCACTGTGCCACCACAATTCTATGATGCCTCACTTAATGATTTCACCACTTAATAATGAATTTTGGGATCCCAACTGTGGTTGTAAGTTGCAAGCTGCCTGAAGTTTCAAATCATGTTGACAAATGTCTCAGCTAGAGGACAGGGTTTGGGCCTCAAAATCTGTCTTCTTCAAAGGCAGAAAGTAAGTTTGCAGGTGTGGAGAAGCGAGGGTTAGGATGAGCGGGAGAAACAATTGTTCACCGAGACATCCCATCAACTGGCACTTAAAATCATTGTGTGTCTCTCATTCAAGGGTTGCAAAACTATCTACTCAAACAGACTTATGACCATTGAACCTCCGGTTCTACCCAGTTATTCAAGTGTTGCAAAAGTTCTTATCTACTCAAACAGACTTAGGACCATGAAACATGCTGTTCTACACAGTCATCATACTCGACTGAATCTCTTAAAAGGAGACTATTATGCAAATTGGATACTAGCATGTATTGGACTTCTGATGGAATTTAGTTGAATTTACTATAATTATTTTTTGTGCCAGAGATTTCTTTGATCTTTGCTATTGAGAAGAAGATATATGGCCAGCTTTTTAATTTACCCTATGTTTTGAAGGTGACGACTACAAGTGGTGTGCATCAGGGAATTCCCTCTGTCCGATTGCTTCAGAAAAAGAATCATAGACCTTCCCTGTTTAAACAAATTCTCATTTCTATTTAAATGCACTTCTTTTTATACATTCTATTCCATATGAATTAAGATGATCAGTAAAGACAAATTTACAATTCACATTTAATCGATACATTTAGTCAGAGCTCTACAATATGTCAATAAATCTATAATGTCAATAAATACATCAAAACATTAATTTGTTCTTGTTAAGGATATTGGTATTGTGTTACCAACCAGGAGAGTAAATGCACAAGGAAACGTTGCTGAGAGCAATGAAAAAGAGATATGTAATATTCCAACTTAATCATGTTGCTTTGGATACACTGATGAACATTCAGATACCTAAGGTCAGTATACTTAGATCTAGTTTTAATTGCTAAATTTGTTGCCATTTTAATAGCAGCTTGGTTGTCCTCATGTATTACAATTGGATAATCCATCTTTAAACCAATATCCAACATTAATTGTTTGTAATAAATCAAATCAGTACAAACTAGTGACAAACATGAGAATTCTGCCTCCATAGTAGAAAGACTAATATGTTTTTGATGAATTGATTTCCAGCCAATCAAACAATTGTCTAACATGATAGCTATACCCGATGTGGACTTTCTGTTGGTCACATCAGTAGCAAAACTGGCATCAGCATATGCGCTTAATACTAAATCATTGTTAAGTTCTAGATACAATGCATAATGCATCGTCATTTTCAGATATCTTAATATACGCTTTGCAGCCTGCCAATGCCTATCAGTTGGCTCTGCATTATATCTCGCTAATTGGTTTACTCCAAATGAA